GGCAGACTACTTAAATAGGCACTCAAAAGGTGCACGTGTGGCTTGATGTACCATCGTTGTAATTATATATAAAACTTTGTTTATACTCTAATAAAAAGTTCTCCAGACCAAAGAGGTTACCTTAATACCAAAAAAAAAAAAACAATATGTATTAAAAAAGACTATCGCGTGATGATTATGACAATCATCACATGAAAATATCTTTTATATACAATGCTAAAGTTGGTAAAATTGGCCGAAGATTCTTTATAACCAATATCCTGAAGTTGATTTTGGAGGTAATAGTGAGAAGATAAGATGCCTCAAAAGTTCAACAGCCATCGTATGAACTTATGCTCTTTGTTTTGAATTATTTTGAGTATGCCACACTGCAATTGTTAAATGCGATATGTGGTTTGAGCCTATAGAAGTTACTATAACAGATAAGAATAAAAATTTTTTTCATATGTAGAAAAAGTTTTTTTAAAACGGTCTATTTTATCCAGTTTTTAGGCCGGACGGTTTAAGAGATATACGAGGAATTTATTTCGTTTAGACATATAACTAATAAACCTGTGTGAGAGCAATGGCATTTTTTGCTATAATTACGGACATTGTGATAACGATAACAATAACTGATTTATACTCTGCAACCTTTGATACGTATAGTGAACAGGGCATAGTTAGCCAATCAGAAATTTAATTTGAGTCCTATCTGTAGATCTTAATAAAACGGATCTATGAGATAATAAAAAATCGCTTGTCAATTTTTTTTTTTTTTTAACAGATAAAGTGATAGATACACGTAAATATATTAATTCTTTAATTTTATTGGTCAATCGCGTAGTTACAAATAAGAGCTGAAAAACATCCTAGTGCAGCTTCATTTCAAAATAAGTTTGGTGCTTTTGGTAATACACCAGGTAAGCCACGAACAAACATTTTGCTTTAGAATGTTTGCTATTTTTTGAAGTAAACTTTCTATATTAGCTGTACAGGATTTAGCATTTCTGGATCAGAGTTAAAGTTAAAAGCAGTCAATTTACTGGTGTGTTCAATTTGGCAACCTAGGTTTCGGTAGTGGATTTGGTACACAAAATACAAATCCAACAGGATTTGGGCTTGCTCAAACCACCCAACCGACCCTTTTTGGGTTGAGTGGTAGAACACAGTCAACTCCTTCAAATATAGAAATATTTGGAGCTGGCAACGTAGGGCTGCAATCCATATCACATGCATTTGGAAGTTTCTTTGGTGTAGGGTCACAATCAACCGCATCAATTGGTGGAAATCTTGGGCGACCAATATTGCCAGCATCTACAAGTAATATTATGTCATTTTAAAGGAATCCATCTTAGCTATTCTGTATTTATAGTTTAATTGACCGGTAGCTTCTGTTTTCGCCGGTAATGTAGCAGCAGGAAATTCTAATGTTGAGATTATAGTTGTTAGACAAAACCTCGAGATTTCACGCTAATGAAAGTCGAAATCTAGTTTTGACTTTCGTCAATTAAAATCTCAAATGTCGAAATGTCGAAACTGTCGAAAGGTGTCGAAACTAGCGAAAGGTGTCGAAACTGGCGAAAGGTGGCAAAAAGTAAAGAAACTATAATTTATTCAGAGTTCAGTATCCGAAGTTACATATATGCCAGCAAAAATAAACCAGTTCATTTT